ACCGTAGCTTTTACTGAAAATGTTTACTAAATAGTTTTATACCGTAGCGTTTACGGAAAATGTTTACTAAATAGTATTCTACCGTAGCTTTTACTGAAAATGTTCACTAAATAGTATTCTACCGTAGCATTACTGAAAATGTTCACTAAATAGTATTCTACCGTAGCTTTTACTGAAAATGTTCACTAAATAGTATTCTACCGTAGCTTTTACTGAGGTGTTCATATTTTATATATTTGCAGGTCTTACATGTCAAGCCATTGCATTCATCGGATCATTTGTCAGGAGTTTCAAATCAATGACGATTTATCCAGCTTTTTTCAGGGCTGAATTACATATTGTTATGAATAATATAGTAATTGGGACAGCACAGAGGCTCAGGCATGGGTTTGTATCTTTAACCTTTATCCTAAAAGTATTTTAAAGAAAAAAAATATGTATTCAAGTTCTATATTTTGGCTACGTGCGTTGTTTTAATTTTTTGAATAAAACTTTTCAAAAGACTGGTAAAATTTGTATTTCAAGTTCGTTTAGTTCGAGGCTTAACACAGCGTGGTTGTTTCTGTTAGCCCTTTTTGTCTTTATGTAAAACAGAATAAATAAATTATATTTTGTATGAGGAATTATATATATTCTAAAATTACTTTGATAATTCCAGGCTTGTGGAAGCTCCATATGTTGTCCAAAACATGATCTTAGAGATGATATGTGTCATTCAACATCCTGGAATATATGATTTGTCCACCAAGGCTATAAGAGAACTAATTCTTTTAAAACATGTTCTAAGACAAAATATCCGGCTTCGATTAGTGTCAACCATTAGACAAAATAAATCTTTCTCTGAAGAAGGTAATTAGAGGGATTTTTAATCATTATACAATTTAAATCATATATTAAACATATGATTTAGAAAAAAATATTTTAAATTATTTTTTGCTCCTCATTACATTTAATACTCATATTATAATCTTTGGCTTTACTCCGCTAATTATTACCCTAAATATTTTTGCAACTAAGCGTGGTTTTAGGATAGATTATAACTAGGAACATTCACAGATTACAGCTATGTCAGGTGTTCAAAATCATATGTAAGACAACTTATATTGTTACTTATAATTGCTTAGATAAGTTTTTTTTTTTTCAAAACATAGTAACACAAAATTACAACATTGACGAAATGGTTGAGTTCAATTCTGTTGCTGCATTGCCAACTGTCCCAATGGTAAGTATAAACATTTTACGCTTATACTACATTTACTTATAACTTTAGTTTGGTATTTTGAGTTGATTTGCTTTTGTTTCCTACACTGAACCCTAGAAGAATGTTGGTGATAACCTACTTAATACTTAATTTGTTAAATTACTGAAATAGTTTGGTAAAAATGATTTAGGTTTATATACTGTCTAATCTTCTACTTTGTGAACATATATATATATATATATATATATATATAT